ACGCACACCTTCCTGCAGATAAGGATAGAAATATTAGAAAGCAAAGGATAAATCAATAAACCCATTCAAAGAAAGGTTTACAATATATTTAAACAGGAATTCAAGACCATACTTCAAAGGAAGTCAACTCCATTCAAGTTATTGATAGAACACAGAACAAGATCAGTACATGGACAATGGATTGATCACATCAAGTAAGATATAAAATGTATACATAATACAAATAAGAGAGCTTATATTGGTCACACGTAAGTATGGCAGCATGTACCAGCCTCAATATCATGTGCATCTTTAACCAATTCAACTTCCAAGGGCTTCAGTTCAGCTGCATTCACACCAGTGAATTGAGAAGTTGAGCAGTGAGGTTGGTTTTCCTGTGACAGGCAATTCCTTCAACTCTTGAGTACTTGGAATGTGTAAACTAAAACAGGTTCAATGATTAGTTTCATATTTCTGGTTTCTTCTATCTCGCACCACTTCCCCCATTACATTACCACATTTGGTAAAATTTAAAGTCACAAGGGGCACAATCAAAACAAACTGCAGACTAGTAAAAATTTCAGAAACTTTTAAAACCACTACATTGTCTTTGTTGTGATCCATTAGCAAATTTCTTATTGAAATTATGAAGCGAATATAAACATATCCGAAACAGATAAGAGCAGAGGGGAAGTGATGCTATAAACAAAACAAAGAAGTTTACAACTTAAGCAGAACAGAAAACAAAATGACATTATAAATCTCGAAACCAAACCAGGTTCCGAAAGTGGAAGCAAAAACAGAAGCGGTGTTTAAGAGAGGAAAATACGTCGTCGTCGTCGGATGTGCTGAGCTCTCCTTCCTCCCTACTAGTCGAGGATATTTCGTTAGTAGGAAGAGCATGCCGTTCCTGCGCAGACTCAGAGTTATTAGGGTTTTCCATTGAATTTCCTTTGAAAGCTGCTTCTGATAGCACCAAGTGTTTCCCCTCCGGCATTTTGCTACGCTCCGTTACTCATTTATTTACTCACCATAGCTCTCTCTCTCCCGCCTCTCACTCCTTCAATGCGGTTCCAACGACGGACAGATGATAGAGAAAGTCGCCACTTTCGGAGAGAGAGGATTCGGTACACGGAATCAAACCATGAGGTGACGGAAAGACGAAATACTCCGTCGTTTTGGCACAAAATATTAATGTCAAGAAGTTCGTTCTAATTTTAATTGAAATGCTTATTTACTTCTTTTATTTCTTATGAGTTACTCCGTATAACGGAGTATTAATATACTACTTCCGTCCCATTTATATTGTCCCGAAAGAGGGTGACACGGTTATTAAGAAAAGTGGGTTTGTGTGGTTGATATTAATTAATAAAGTAAGAATAAAGTAAGAATGATTTAGAGCCACACAAACTTTGCCAAATATGATATGAGACAATTTAAGTGGGACTTCCCGAAAAGGTAAAACGGGACAATATAAATGGGATGGAGGGAGTAACTAGTAACTCCACCCGTTCGTTGCAAGGGAGTGAAGTACCTATGTACTCCCTCCGTCTCTATATAAAAGGCCCCATTCATTTTACACACATTTTAAGAAACTAAGACTGTTTGCATTTTTTGAACAGTATTTGATATTGTTTAGTATTGTTTTGTTTATCAAAAAAGGAAAAAGGACTTCTACTTAGGGACAACCTGAAAATGAAAGAGAGACTTTTATTTACGGACGGAGGGAGTAATAGGTTAGACGCAATTATATAAAAGCAAAAAACATAATAGTGATCCAATAAATTCAAAATATTAAATAAATTAAGTAAGAGTCATTGTAACAAAAAACTAAGAAATAAAACTATTCATACATAAAAAAAAAGGAAAGGATATGTCATGGAGGAAGATAATAACCTTTTCCAAAGATTGATCATAACTTATTACCAAAAAAAAGATTGATCATAACTTTTCTTATTAATGGCAGTCGCGCACAGATTATACTGTGAGATCGCTACACCGCGCGCGTGGTGTGTCGATCCTAAGTTGCATGGTTGTCTTAATTAAAAATGAGAGCATAAATGTCATGACATTACCAGTTGAGCCACCAGTAAAAAAAGTAGGTCTCGAAGTCAAAACCAAAATATAAAGTAGTAAAAATGGGAAAGAACAAATATTTTGCAAAACTATATTCTTTCTTACTTATTGAATTTTGCAAACTTTCTTTCTTTTATTACCCCAATAAGTTTGTCATTTTCCTATTAAAGTAATTAATTTATAATATTGCTTATTTCTCTCTCTTCTGTATAAACTCAGCACAATTTTTACTTTTATCTATTTCTCACCTAATTCAAAGTTAACAATGTTCAATGCGACGGAGGTTAAATAAAAAAACATGTACTTGCCAATTTTGTATGACAATTAGTCACTAAATTTTTGCACCTTTTATGAGATATGAAAATGTGTATACGTAAGACTGTTGTTATTGATCTAATTTAAGTTTAACTTTGCATGATACTTTAAGTTCCTTTTATTTAGCGATATTACTAATTTTCTTTTTAATAAGATTAAAAGTGTTGTTTTGGTTCGTTTTTAATTAGCAATCATAGTTCCTTTTAACAACAATTTTACCGGTGATCCTCTTTGTTAAAGTTGTATGATCGTCTATATATGCATATGAGTTGTGGAAAGAGTATTCATCAATTTACTATCTACTCCCTTTGTCCTTAAAAGTTTGTCAGCTTTGATTTTTTTTTTATCCCAAAAACTTGTGTGGAACACAAGTTTGTCAATTTTTTGTCCACACATCTTTGTGTGGAACACGTATCTTATCAATCTTAACCTTGAAGATAGCGACGATGTGGTCACACCTCTTTATCTTGTGTGCAGGGGCGGACCGTAGTACAGACCCAGGGGGGTGGTCGCCCCCCCAACAACAAAATTTTTTAGTGTATATATACAATAAAAAATAATTTTCGCCCTCCCAAAAAATATTTTGTTTAAGTTACCGCCCTCCCAAGACAAACTTCCTGGGTCCGCCTCTGCTTGTGTGTCATATCTACCTAGAAATATGAAACAGGCCCGGCCCAGCCCAGGTGCAATTGGAGCATCTGCACAGGGCCCCCAATTTCGGAGGGCCCCCCATTTTTTAAACCTTAATAGTATAACTAGGCCCATTAGTAAAGAGTAATATTAAAATAGACAGCCCGACCCAAGCATTAAGCGGCCCACGACTAATCCAAGCGACAAATATCCTCTCCATTCAAACCATTAAGCGGCTCTTCAATTCTTCATCTGCGTTTTTGGGTATTTGAGCACATGGAAAATCGAAGGGACAAAGCCATTATCGAGGAAACAAGACTGTGATTCGAGCGTGGAAAACGTGGAAAAGGTGTGGAATTTAATCAATTTATTCTTTTTACCGTTAAGAATTTAATTAATTTAAATATCTTCTAATCTTCTACAATCCTTATTCTGCCAATCCGACTGGAAATCCCCTGATTTTTCCACTACTCTGAGTTCTTCATTCTTCTAATCTTCTTCAATCTTTCATTCTTTCGTACTTCAATGGCTTCTATGACTTCTGTCCTGCGTGGCCACTGCCTGCGAGTGGATAGCCGAACAGATTCGAGAAGGGTTGAGGGTGGGCACTGGGCAAGGAGACTGAGTTAATCGATTCACTCCCAGAGGCCAGAGCAGTTGAGTAGTCGACTGCCTTACAGCCCTACTATTTTGTTTCAGACTTTGAGGACTGCAAGTGTTTTTTTCTCATTCCTTCTCATTGATTATACTTCGTATATATTTTTCTAATATTTTTTAATTGGTAATTTGGATTCATTTACATCTTATAATAAATGATAGTAATTGAGAAATTGATATTTGAAATGCCTCCTAGAATCAGAAAATAAGAAGAAAAAACCTGACGAGTTTATTTTATCTAAAAAAGGAGCTTATGAATCTTAGAAGAATAGCGCTATTTAAATAAGTGTAGTTTAATTCCAAAATATTGGATGTAATTTTGATACTCCTGATGTATTATACTATTAGTTGAATAAGGAAAATTGTATTTTAGTATGAAGTATAAATATAAAATATGACTTTGATTACTTTTTATTTTATTATTAGTTTTTTTTGTATTAATATTATTAGGGCCTCCAGTTTTTCTTTTGATCAGGGCCTCTCATTTGTCAAGGCCGGGCCTGATATGAAAGGACGATCTTCAGAGCATACTTATCATATTGTATCTCAAGTTATTCAAAACTCATTTATGGGCATTTTTACGAGAATGATTCATATTGCTTCCCCCTCCGTGTTCAATCTGCAAGTATGAATCTCTCTATCTTTGTGTGGATTTCATTACTTGTGATTTCTTAATTAAATCCTTGTTATGTCATGTTAAGTATACTCCAGGCTCAACTAAGTTTTCACAATTAGTATACACACGATTAAAAGAAATATGAATCACAATGGGAGCACATCTTGAAAAGGAATTATAGTGTAGCTGAAGACTTGGAGAGGTATATGCAAAAGGTCAGTAGAGGATATCGAGTCATAAGCGAGCTAGGGCCATAGTGGGGCTTCTCTTCTTCGTGACCACTATCTTCTTCCTCTATACCATAGATCAGCTTAATACTTCGTTAATTGGGGCTCTTGTACAATGTAAATGGTAGATTAATAAAATGAGAGTAGCTTGAATGTTGGACATTTGCCCAAAAAGGACTGTGTTTTCTCACTTTCGGGTTTCCACGTAAAAACAAAGTTCATACAACATCTACAAATTTATTTACTATTTCGTGTTGGATTAGTTTCAACAAGTATTAAATTATAAAATTAGCATACATTTTTTATGGTAATACAATGATAATATAGTTCAATGAATAAGTTGATTTATATAGCATATACTATCGTATATTGCTTCATCCGTCTCTTAAAATTTTGACAAATTTGACCGACACGAGGAGAGATAATTACCTGAAACCACAAATTCTTTACTAAAAATGGAAAATGGCAAAGTTAGTAGAATGATCAAAAAAGAAAAGTTCGCAAAGTTTTAAAGGACGAAAGAAGTACGTATTGATGATGACACTCAAATGCTTACTTCAAATACTCAATTGTGCTGTCAATACATCGATTTAATACTAATACTCGTTTCATTTAAGGGAAAGTTCCCGAAATAAGACTAAAACAGTTTGAAAATTCCAAAATAGGACTGTCGTGTTTTTTATTCCCAAAATAGGAGTAATTATTGTGAAGATTGGAAAATACTGCCGTGTTTGAAGTCTGGTACTGCCAAAACATGGCAGTAATTAGTCATTTTGGGAATAAAAATATCAGATTCTATGCTACGGTATAGGCTTCGGTTGCAGTTCACCACGGGTCTAACTCAGAGCCGGGATACAGTCTTCTCGGCTTCCTTTTCGCCATAGTCTCCGACAGTCTCATCAGAGCCGAGAGAATCCAATACTTCAGCAAACATAGTTTTCCTGATATCACCATACGTATTTCCATCCCAATTTCTTCTCCTTAATTCTTCCCCTAAATTTAGAGCAGCTGTTACAGTCTCCTCCGCGCTGTTGTGCGCTGAGTCAACGATTCCATTCTCAACCGCCACATCTGCGTTGAGCTTCGCCGCTGTCAGAGCTACACTGCGCCTGGCCGCCGGCGACCCAATTTTACATCTGATTACGGCAACGAACCAGGCCGGAAGCTTGAAGCCAATATCGAGCTCGCTCATGTAGAGAACCCCTCGATCCCGTCTCATCAGGATGTAGTCGTGGCAGAGCGCGAGTATGAATCCGGCCGCGGATGCGTGGCCGGTGACGGCGGCGATCGTGGGCATGGGGAGACTGATTAGGTCGGAGACGAGGAGGCGGAGCTTCGATGACATGATCTTACCGCGGTTCTCTATGTCCTCCGAAGCCCATTTCAGATCGTATCCGTTGCAGAAGAACTTCCCTTGCGCGGTGGTGATCAGAGCGGAGGCCCCCGTCGATTCGGAGCGGACGCGGCGGACGGCGGACGTGATGGAGTCGATGAGGGTTGGGTGTAATCGGTGCTCATCGTTGCCGGTTAATGTGAGGATGAAGATGCTTCCTCGCTTCTCCAATGAGCACATCGTTTTCCGACCACCGGAGAAGATGAGGGGCAGAAGGGATAATAAAGTGGATCCAGTGATCTCTTCGTCTACCCGCTCTCCAACCACCCAACTGCATCCACATTCCACCCAACCTAAAAGCTGGTCAGGTTTTAATTAGGTTTAGGCGACGTTTGGTAAACGGTTTATCAACCCTTTTTTGGTTGGTTTGATCAAGTTTGGCCAAAGTCTATGTTAAAAAAACCGACCCGACCCGGCCGGGTTGACCCGGAACCCGGTGACCCGGACAAAAAACCGGTTCGGTTTTTTCAAAACCCGGAAATGGTCAAAAACCGGAAAAACTCGGCTGACCCGGGAAAACCCGGTCAAGACCCGGACCCAAGAAACCCGAAAAACCCAGTAAAACCCAGTTTTTGGGTGTTTTTACCAAAAAGAGTAATTTCTTTTTTATTTTTAATGCATTTTTATACCAATAAAATTACAATTACAATACCTTAAAAAGAAAAACAACGTACGTAGTAATATATTTATATATTTATTTAAGAATGAACATCATGCCAAATTATAATATAGATGTACAATAAAAATAAAAATATCATTATATATTTTTATAAGATCAAAATATACATTGAAATATTATAAGAGTGTATTAAATGCTTAATAAGTAGTATTGTTAGTTGATTATTATGAATAATAACTAATTTTTATTATAATTTTATATATAATTATATGTTTACTATTATAATATAGACGTATAATCATTGACTGGTTTTCCGGCGTTGACCGGGTTGACCCACCGGGTCCGGGTTGACCCGTGACCCAGTCATGTGGCCGGGTCACTCTCCGGTCCGGTTTTTACAACATAGGCCAAAGTACCAAATTGACCAAATTTATATGTGTGCCCGAATTAGTGTACATATCTTAAAAATTACTCCGTATATTGTTAGTTATTATTTAAAATAAACATAAACATAATTTTTAAAACTTTTTCAAAACTTATTAAAAATGAAAAGAAATAAATTGATTTTAATACATAAACTTTTAAACTCATTTTTAATGGTCATTTTACGTTTGAAGATCTAATTTCAAATTTTAAATTACTAACATTTTATTTCAAATTGCTAATGAAAGCGGCTAGTTAAAAAGCTAATAGAATCCGCTAATATCAATCTATTGATTCAACCGACTATGAGTTAGCAGACAACTAATATTATCAAACACGGTAAACATACTGCAAATATCAATTTTACAATACTTAGAATATTAAATGTCGGAAATTTTAAAGTCGAGGATCGAATATTTATCACTCACAAAAAATTAATCAATTTGTCACTATGGCTTCTTTTATTTAATCAATATGTCTCAACTAGCTATGTAGCACGGAAATTCTCGGGAAAGAGTACGTTTCCCGTTTCGGAAACTCTTCAAATAAGCCTTTTTGAGCAAAAGTTGACGTTTCTCGTTTCCCGTTTTCTCATAATTTTCGCGTTTCCGTGCAACATAAGTCTCAAGTGGTTTTTTTTATCAATCTGTCAAATGACCCTTTTTTTTACCAATTTGGTAATTTGGCCGATTAAGTTTAGTTGGTTTAACCGATTGACTAGCTAAATCTAACAACATTATATTTGTGAATGAGGGTAAATACCCTTGATTTATGTCAATACATTTTATTATTAAAAAATGTACATTATGCTTAGAAAATGATACATCACTTTTGAAGTGATTTTAATAACCCTAACTCTAAAAACGTCTGTTACTTTTATTTGAAGAGATGCCAGGTCATTATGTTTGACATAATATAATAAAAGTACTGTTACTTGATGCCTTTGATGGTTGAATTATCTATGAAAAAATACTTACTTTAAATATAAGAAATTCTTGATATTAAAATAAATAATGTGTGAATTATTTATATTAATAATTAATAACGTAATATCAAACTTCTTTTATTAAAAAATTACATGAAAAAATAACTAAAATTACATGAAAAAATAACTAAAAGATCATATACACTAATTTCGGTCAATTCGGTCAGAAAAGTAACTTTTGTCTTACCTATTTTGATTATTACACAATTCATTATGTCAAATGAAAAGTTACATATTTGATGAAAAAGTTTGATGATAAGGCAAAAAACTGGATCACTAAATGAGCTCTTAAAATTTTATAACTTACATGGGTTATAAGCATGTATAGTTGTGTTGTCTCCAACACCATGATCTCTTTAAGTAGATCATCGTGTTCATACATTATCATTGTGTGGTCTTATAGAAGTGTAAGTCCAAGTCGCTCCAATTAATTCAAGGTTTAAAAGATAATTGGTCCATATTGAGTTTGAACCTTATTAAAACCAATTAAACTTTCAATTTTCCTTTTCCGTCCATCCCAATTAAAACTTGCACTTTCTCTTTTTGGTAAAGAATTTGTGGTTCACAACATTTCTTACACATTTCTCTCTTCTCTACACAACTCTCCACCGCACAATACTCACTATCTTAAACTGTGTTCCCAACCCATTTGAAAGTTTTATTAGGAACGGAGGTAGTACTTTATTATTCTATGTGCAAGTCAAATTTGTAGGAGGGAAGGAAATGTTAAACAAAAACTATACAACCAAATCGCATAATCACATAGTTGAAAGTCATATAGAAATATTTTCCACACAATAATTGGTTGACATGGAATGTAATCAATCTGACATATTATCCTACTATATTTTTAAAAATATATCGGGTATCTCATTAACTATTTGCAAAAATCTTAGAAAATTTTCCATGTATTAGTTTTTTACGGGAAAGAACACTTACTTTAAAATTGGGCAAACACTTTCGCGCTTTGCGCGAGTAAACGCTAGTACAGAGTAATATGTTTGGTGAATAGCTTTTTGAATAAGCTTTTTCATCCCCAAAAAAACCCTAAAATTTAGCTAGTTGGAAACGTCACCTTTAGCGTTTTTTGTCGGCGGATGTGGTTTATTGTTTTTTGACTAAGAGCCCATTTGATATTACCAGAATCAGTTGTATCGTCTAATTCTGTTAAAATTTATGAAATTATGGATGAAATTGTTGGACTGGTTGATTCTTCTCATTTATGTAAACATTATATTTAAAATATATTGTATTAATAAAATTAAGAAAAAATTATCTTCCGTATGAAAGATAGCTAAAATGATCATTTACAGTAACTTCAGCCAATACAGTTAGAAAAGTAACTTCAATCTTACTTTTTCTTATTATTACACATTTCAGCGCGTGAAATCAAAAAATTACATGTTTGGTGAAAAAATTGGATATTAAACATGATAAGCCGAAAAACATGTTCACCAAACGGGCTCTAAATACTCCTTGTCAGTTGTCTCCTAATATACACTCCCTACTTAGTACATACGATAGTATTTATTTTATGTTCCTAAGTTTTTCTATGGTACCTTCCTAAATAAATGAGATACCGTCACACAAAGTCTTTTAGCCAATCATACACAAATTATACCGTGTTACCGGTATATCACGCGCATTGTATACAATACCACATTGTTTTTCTATCCATCTAGGAACATTACAGAAGTCTTTAATTTGTGTTCTTTTTCTTTCAAGCCCTCCACTTTCTTTTCTCTCAAGCCCTTCACTACTCCAGGTATGTTATTTTTTTCTCTTTATTTTTCTTTTGTAGTTTCTTCAATTATTTTCTTCTCTCCAATATAATACTAAAATTTTAATTGTAATTTTACTTATCTTAACTTTTAACTAGTTTAATTATAACTGATCAATTAACTTTTTTTCCTTGCAAATTTATCACAAAATTTTATTAATCCACATAGAATAAGTATGTTACATTAATAACCATACACTATTTTTTTGATTTATTTCTTCAACTGAAATTACTACTAAATTTACTTTTCGTTAGATATTTCTTACATTTATACACTTTTTTGTAAAATATTTTTCATATTCATACACTTTTTTTATAATGTAATTTTTATCTCTGCAAAAAAAAAGATATATTTATTGTCTCTTAGATATGTATTTAGTGTTTTCAAGACATTAAATTTCTTTATTTCGATTTAAATTTGATAAAACATGAAATTACATTTTCATATGTGTGAGTTATGTTTATACACAATTTTGGAGTTACATTTGATAATCTTTTTTAGAGTTACATCTTCTTATACGCGAGTTACGTCTTCAAGTGCATGAGTTGTATCTTTCTATGCGTTAGTTACATTTGGTCTTACCTCAACAAGTTACATTATGCACGCACACACCTAAGTTAGATTTTTCATCAATGCGGGTTAAATTTTTCATAACACGAGTTATATAAAAAAATAAAACACTGCTATTGAAACAAGAAAAACAATATTTTAGCAAATTAAAAAGATTTTATTGGCAAATAAAAGAATTTTTTGGCAAAAAGAAAACGTTTTTTGGCAAAAAATATATATTTCTTTAAAACATTTTTATGGCCTTAATACTTAAAAAACTTATTAACTATTTACTTAAATTAATTGAGCAATTAGACTCCTTGTTTCATTGTTTACATTTGATAGTATATGGAGTTACATTTTCTTATGCATGAGCTACATCTTTTTATATGTGTTATATCTTTCTATGCGCGAGTTACATTTGAGGTTGCCTCCACAAGTTACATTTTGCATATATTAACGCGAGTTGCATTTTGACATTTTCTATAACATGAATCACATCACAATATAAAGCCTACTATTGAAACAAAAGAATTTTCTCCAAAAAAAAACAAATTATTATTTTTGGCAAAGAAAAGTGATTTGTCAAAAAATATTTTTACGGTCTTACCCCTTCTGTTGAAACAACAAAAATCACTTTTTTGCTAATTAAAATATTTTTTTAGCGAAAAAAATGAATTTTTGGCAAAAAAAATATATATATACTACCTCCGTCCCACTAAGATTGGGCCAAGAGAAAGTGGCACAGTTATTAAGAAAAGTAGGTTTGTGTGGTTGTTATTAAATTGATAAAGTAAGAATAAAGTAAGAATGATTTAGAGCCACACAAACTTTACCAAATTTGGTATGAGACAATCTTAGTGGGACGTCCCGAAAAGGTAAAATGGGACAATCTTAACGGGACGGAGGGAGTAAAACATAT